CGATTACATTTATCCACAGCAGTGTGCAGGTATACCTACGTGTACTTCTGGATGTGCTAGTGGAGTAATTCAGGGAATAAGTGAAGGAGAGCCACCTAGAACAACTCTGAGCGTGTCACTATGGGACGGCACCACTGTGCAAACATCGCAGTCCACACACACCGTAATGAAGAACCGTGGAGTCCGCAAACATATACGACCTGATCCAGCTAGACTTGGGCTGGGGAGGTGGGGGGTTAAAACTATGATCCCCTGTTAGTAACTGTGGCTAGAAGGAGCTCCCAAAGGTCAGAGGCCCCACGTACGGCTCAGGCTCCCGGATGGCTTTTCACCGCTACTCAGCTCCTCACGCTGAACCTGGGCATTGCTACAAATGAAGAGGAAGAGAGGCAGCCTCAGGCTGGACCGGCGCCATCTGCAGTACTTCATATACTGCGCAGAAATGTGGGGTTTGCTGAAGGTTTGGAGGGATTCCAGAATTAAAAACACACTCAGCCTGATAAATCGCACATACACACACACACACACACACACATACACACACACAGGAGCACAAGCCCACCGGTAACAACATGGAAAAAAAACAATAAAATACAATGATGAAATAACCTTTAAGCGTGAGGTGAAATATCATGCTACCAGAGACACATTCTTCCATGTTGGAATTCTCAGACCATCCATCACGAACCGTGGGGACGCCGACCTGCCCTGGCTCACACCCGGGGTCACAAGGAGCGGACGGGGAAAATAAATGCTCATAACCGAATTATACCAGGAGAAAATAAACTATTTACGAGAGCGTAATGTAAACAGGGAGAGTAGACAGTAAACTGTAGTGTGATAAATTTTCCATTTTAGTGAATAAACAGGAAAATACAAAGAAGCTTCGCATCTTTGTGTTCGCAAAAACAAAACCTTTTAGCTAAATAAAAACGAGTTTCCATTATTGTCAAATTTATGTTGAATCTGTAATACAGAAATTGACCTTGCGCACACTAATCCTGTTCATTTGTCTGATATTTACACAAATGGCAGCTCAGTTTTAGAAAACAAATGAATGAAAACAAACTGCAGTTAATAGTGAGCCTCAACCACATTAAACAGAAAGGATGGATGGATGGATGGATCTGAGGACATCTACACAAACCACATACAACTCTGAGGTGCCACAAGCGGACAGGACGACGACAGAGTAACACTAATAAAATACGTTCTTTTTCCAAAGGCTTTCCTTTAAGCCTGTGTCACACAAGAACCTTTGTGGCGTGTGATCACATGTGCAGGGTTTCCCCAGCGGCTTTGCAACGTATTACCAAGCCGCTGATCGATACCAACAGCTCAGGCTGAAAGGAGAAGGCAGCCTCATCCCACAAAGCGAGCGTCAGAGCGGGCCGCAAAGCAGACCAAGTACAATGCTCGATAAATACACGACAAGCCCATTTGGTGATTTACACAAATGCTTGGAAACACCAACGTTGCTACAAGGCAGTCAGAAATATTTTATGCTTAAATAAACGTGTGTGTGTGGGGGGGGGGGTACAGGGTTGTAAAATATACTTTTGCAATATAAACAGGTCGGTCATATAAACCGTGCATTCATACGGCGCACGAAAACTCAGCTGTCTCATCTCACAGCCGAGCTTCGCAGTGTCCCAAACAGTACTCGCGTAAATACAATTTATATTGGCCCAGAAGTAAACACTGTCTGCCGTGTCACAAAGGTAACAATCGAGATTACGTACGCAAAAGATGCCTTACATTTGACTCAGCTGATACAACCCCATAATAAGAAGCACCTAATCAAAATATTTAGGTGATTTTCTCTGTGTAAACGTAGAAAAGAGGCCCAGAGTTTAGAGAGTGTTTGGCACACGCCGTGGGACGCCTGTGAGTTCACGTTAAAGATTAACAACAATGGATGGTCCACGTGAGCAACGACGCTGGCCACCAAAAGCAACAATCAAATTAAGCGCTGCGGTTGACATCCAAACAGCACCGAAGGCAATATGGAAACACCTTACAATGGAACCACAGAGCGTACAAATGCATTTGGTTTTATTTATATACTGCAATTGAATTACTTAATGTATTAATGAAAATAACTAGCTAATTGATGGCATTTTCTTGAGAATGTTGAAGGAGGGAAAAAAAAGATGTGTGGCTCAGTGGGTTAGGATGCTGTGTTTCTGATTATGAGAGTTAATGTTTCAAATCGCAAAGCTTGATTGATTTCATCAAGGGGCCTTTGGAAAGGCCCCTAACCTCCACCTGCTACAGGGATGGACAGGCTGACTGATAAATATCTAAAATCTGAGGAATACAGATTAGTTAAATATGAGGTCAATGGGATACTTCACTTAGTTAGACTAAGTATTACCCCTGAACATCTATTGTATCACACAATCAGCATAACAATGGCATACCATACAGACTTTTTCCACCACACTCAACAGCATCTTAGCCAAGCTCTAAACAAGCAGAACCATATCAGTATCAACCCTCTGAAGCACGCCACGCCCAGATCGATTAGACTTAACTGCTCTAGAAAACACAATGAGGTGCTTCGGTATCAGAGTACAACCCAAATACCCGTCACTTTCACTCTGCAATCTGCCAGATCACTCAATACAGTCTGACAGACTGCGCTGAGGTTACAGAGTTCCCTTTCAGACATAAAAAGATGGATAAAAGCTGTCTATAGATTACAAAGAACATATCAAACGTCTGATTTTTCTGTGGTTTCCTTCCTAGCTCACTTTGCGTGCATGTCTGATCCCAAATAAACAATTAGCACTGGCAGATCAGATGCCATGAGATGTGAAAGAAACAGCTCTGCACCCGACCCAACGTATCGCGTATGGAGAAGGTTCACACAAGCACATGTGACTTGTGGTGGTGCCCTTGGTGGCAGATAAACCCACTCAGGCGTAGATCTACTGCGGAGGTTCTCCTAAGCACCTGGCACACTTTACCTAAACAGATATGCTGGGTATAGTGGTTAAGGAGCCACACAGAGAGTAACGATGTATACCTGGGTAAAATATTAAGTCTCTGATGGTAAAAGCATCAGAAAATGTAAATATTGGTTTTATTAAACAAGTTGATATTTCAGTTGACTGTTTTAAATGGATGCCAGGGATTCTGTCAAGACTGTGTTCTGGACCTTTCCTTGGCGCGGAGGATGGGATAGGCGGCAGGAAGGTGGAGGGCTGGGCTCTTCACATAAATGTCACCATGCATAGGTCAAACGCTTCACACCATATCGCGAGCCTCAGGGGGAGAAAGACCTACATCAGACAATCTGCAGGGTGATTTTAACACTAAGACCCATCCTGATTGGGATTCCTGATGGGAAAATTCCTTTGAAAAAAACAGGGAAAGAGTCTCTGAGACACAAGCAGCTGAATTTCCTATGGAAACGTGGGTCACCCTCTAGAGGTGAATGAAATGGGTTTAGAACAATCCGGGGGCTACACCAGCCCTTAAATAACACATTTCCTTTCAGGAGAATAACGACAGGAACTAAAATTAAACTACACACCATATAAGTGCAGTATTTTATACAGATTATGTGTGTTTATATATTTATGGGAATGTAATACAGAAAGTAAGGGCCACAGCAGAATTTTACAGACGCAGACAGAATATAAAAGCAAATGCTTGCTTAAGGACTCAGGGGGACCCGAAGTGTAAATGTCACACATTGATTCTTGCGGTGTCGCTGACATTGACATTCTCTCATTTTACAGCCGAAGACAGAGCTGTCTGCACACGCAGCGGATCCGTTTACTCTAGTAGGGTGACGAGCATGTGCCGGGAACTCGGGCGTCGCCGACACCAGCCCGGCCTCCCTCGCTTTCCGGAAATCTCCGTCGAATGGTAACGGATCCGTCCGTCACTGCGTGCCTGTTGACCGTAAGCGTGCTGTGCACATTATTCATTGATATCCCCCCTGCCGTTTACTAGAACGGGCTCAGCAGAAAACCTTTTTTGGATACATATTTATCTGTCAGCTTTTTATAATTTCCGCGCCAAGTCAAATCTGGCATTGTTGTCATGTATACATTTCATTTGTGTGTTTGTAAATAGCCCCCATTGTGGGACGCGGAACCAAACACACAACAGCTCAGACGCACAAATACACATACATCGGTGATTTATTTCCCACTTCCTGACTGTTTGTTCCCAGTGAGAAATTAGTTAAACTCCAGTGCACTGGATGACCCCCCCCCCCCCCCCCCCCCCCCCCGCCTGCTCGTTCACTTCACTCCTCCTCTGTCAAACTAACCGTAAAACCACCATGCAAACAGTGCAAAAACACGCGCGCACACACACACAGTGACAGGTGATACATTTTTGTAGCAGGAAGCAGGAAAGGATTCCACAGGACACTCCAGGCTGCCTCATTTCTACAGTGCACCCCCCACACACCTTCCAGCCTACCCCCAAAAGCTCCCACACTGGGGGGTGGGGGGTCATAATGTCAGACGCCCTTGCAACTAGCTGGTCAACACTAGCTGGACCGTGCCAGTCCTCCGTAGCCTGCAGAAGCAAGCATTCACCCCCCCCCCCCCGTTACTGCAAGGTGAGCCATACACCTCCCCCAGCAGGCAGGCGCAGTATGAGCAATACCCAGGGCTGTCACAACACATTCCATCCCCCCACCAGTCATGTCCCCCAGGGTCAGGAGGAGCAGCGTCAGCCTGGCCTCTACCCGCTGTCTGCATTCATCACACTGGGCCCTCCTGAGCAGCTCTTTCAGCCTGCCCGCATGCACCCCCCTCCCCCCACCCAGGCCCCCACCCATTACAGTACGCATGTAACAAATCGACCCATGCCACATATTGTACAGAGCACCTGACCGACCGAGGGCCTGCCCATCTCTGACACGTACGCTGACCGCCCTGAGTCGCGGCCAAACGGTGAGTTGCACCGCATAACCGAACGAGTGGTGAGCATATGTCACCCCCCCCCCCCCCCCAAAGAAACGGGTCACAAACCATCACAGGGCCACCGGGGGTGACGTTTCCAGGAGCAGCTCTCTGTCCATCCATCCGACTGTGAAAACGCGGCATGTCCGCACCGGTCCTCACCTTCTGTCCAGGAAACACGATTTTACACAATTTTTTATTACAGCTACCAGCAGACCTTTCTGTGAAAACAGCAACTGATAAACGATCGACACAGAGAGCCAGTTTGAATTCATATTACAACAAAGAAGAAGCTGAAGGAGGGTGGGTGGTGCAGTTATTACTCTGTCTTACTCTGTAGCACTTTGAGATTTGTTTTAATGAAAAGTGCATTAGAAATAAAATTTATTATTATTCATTGTGAAAATAAAGATATCAAAAATTAAACCACTTCTTGGGCGATGGTGGGATCCTCAGGTATTGGCAGGAAGCCTGCAGGTAAACTGGGTAATTTTAGGGGCCTACAAGTTCTCCAGCAGATCTCCACTTGCTGTAACAGCCCATAATATTCATGTCCATGTTCGATACAGATCTTTCAGTGAGCCCTATGAAAATGATTAGTTTCTAGCCCCGTTTATGGCCTTCCACACAGGAGCGAGCTGTACAAAACAGCCGCTGGCTTTAATCCCAAATTAAGCCAGATCGAATTCGGTGCTCATGTCATTAGGTCTGACAGACCCCGCCTCCTTTTTTGGGCAGTGGGATTACGGCGAACAAAAGTGAACATACTTTAGACAGATAGAAGGCCAGCACACCCACCCCCGTCAAAGCTTAGGGTATTTGGGGACAGATTACAGTATCTTAACCCCCCAACAAATGAAAATAACTAGCTAATTGATGGCATTTTCTGGAAAATGTTGAAGGAGGGAGGAAAAAAGCAAAAAAAAAACAGAAATCAGTTTCTCAAACCCAAAGCCTGTAACATTTAGTCCAGCAGCAAGTTTGCAGTAAAAGAAGAAGTTTTTTCTTTTTTTAAATCATTTCTAAATTCAAACTGCTCGGGGTGACGGCAATGTGCATAATTCGCAGCGTTAAACCCACTCAAAATTAAGAAGATATTCCTTATGACACATCAGTGACATTACATTAATAAATACTTGAACAGAGACATGTCCCATTTTAATTTTTTATACAGCCACTAATGTGAATGGGAGAATATCGCCATCGGCGACTGCGATCCTCAGATAACGAATCAGATTCAGTGGCATTAAAATGTAGCTAATTTCCCCACAGATTCAAAGTAATTCAAAAGTATTGCCTTCTGCTTAAGTATACAATAAAGAAATAAATGTCGCCATATTTGTCCCATTAAAGTCTACGGAGGATGAGTGTTTTTGTTATCAATCAGACGTTTAGATGTTCCACACAGACAAGGTTAAGTACACTTCCACGTGTAGAAAATCAGAGGTGTCAAACTGCTCCGATTATGATTTGTAAATGCATTTTCATCTCCAGGTTTGCATGATATTCGATGGTAATATCTTATCTTTTCCGCACATCTGCAGCAGAGTGAAGATGATTCACCGTACGCTGATGACTCTACTGGGAGAAGGCCCCGGAA